CTAGATGATCTCTAGAGGTCCCTTCCAACCCTTACCACTCTGCGTGAATCTGTGTCAACTGCCAGCTCATGTCCAGCTTTTCATCCCCCAGTACCCCCAAGTCCTTCTCCTCAGGGCTGCTCTCGCTCCACTCTCCACCCAGCCTGTCCTTGTGCTTGGGATTGCCCTGACCCAGATGCAGGACCTTGCACTTGGCCTTGTTGAACTCCATGAGGTTGGCAGTGGCCCACCTCTCCAGCCTGTCCAGGTCCCTCTGGATGGCATCCCTTCCCTCCAGTGTATCAACTGCACCACACAGCTTGGTGTCATCAGCAAACTTGCTGAGGGTGCACTCAGTCCCACTGACTATGTCATTCATGAAGATACTAAACAGAAGTGGTCCCAGTATGAATCCCTGAGGGACACCATTCACCACCAGTCTCCATCTGGATATGGAGCCATTGACCACTACCCTCTGGATTAGATGATTCAACCAATTTCTCATTCACTAAAAAGTGTACCCATCAAATGTATAATTCTCAAATTTAGAGAGAAGGCTGTTGTGGGGGACTATGTGAAAGGCCTTTATGGCCTTAAAGGCCAATTGCAGCAGCTATGAGAATTCACAACTGAGAACTGTCCTCCGGTGGTTTACTGATGGATACATTTTATTTTTTATAACTGAAAATACACATTGTTATTTGAAAAATATTGCAGACTGTTGTAGCTAAGGAAATAAGATAAATGAGTTAAAACACTGATTTGCAATGGTTTTTTTGCACTTTTTCTTCCTAATGAACAAGAACAGCAAGTTGTACTCAGAACAATCTTCTGCAGGGAAATACTAAATGTTGGTTTCCCTCAAGACTTATTTTATCTATGACTCGGATTTGTTTTATCTATTTCCTTTGGCAGATAAATAACTTGTCTCATTCATATTTCTATCAACATGGTTGCATTAATTTTTGAATTGTAGTGATTTACCTTTTTCAGGGCTGTAAACCATACTAGCCATTTAATTTATAGCCTTGTCCACATATTTTAGCAGATTTTTATGGCAAATCCTTGACCAATTAAAGGTAATGCTTCAAAAACTTCAGTATGGCAGGGTTGCCTGCACAACATTAATATTCTTTGTTGTGGAGGCTCTCAAAAAGTCTGGAAATTTTTCTCTCTGACTGAAGAAACTGAAAGCATGTGTCCACTCTTTGCTTATAAAAAAATTTAGACTTACATGCATATTCTATAATTATGGTGCATGTTATGATAGCTGGAGAATGATCTGAGCAAAAAGACTGAGGAAAATTTAATTCAACCATTCTTTTGGAATTTACAGGTTGAACTATTGAAAGATGGCCAGAAAAATAATGAAATTAGAAAGAAATTCAAAACTTTTCTTTGAAACTGACCTTAACCAATCCTATGACAGAGGCAACTCCTGTGGGGTCAGACCTACAAAGGTCTTGTCATTGCACTTGTACTAAACTATGTACATTGCATGGGGTTTCATAGGCTCCAGTCTGATTATCATGATAAAAGTACGACTTTGACTATATTTTAGCTGTGCATTTTTCTGCAAAACTTGATTCTCCTGTTCTTGAGAGATGTAAATTATTTCAGTATAATGTTGCTGAAAGAAGAATTATTTGGGATCCCTCACTTTCAGAGAAGGAGAGAGAGGAACATCCTTAGAGGAAAGCTGAAGTGCTTTTACATTCATTTCCACTAAAAAACACATAAAATTACTCATCCAGATTTTGTAGTTGCTGTCATGTAGATCTAGCTTGGCAGATTTATGTGATCGTAATTTCAATTTCACTTCCATAGTTTTCAGGTGTATGTATGGGGGATGAACAAAAATAATAGACAACAATAATTTTGAAGTTATTTAAAATTCAACACTTTATCTACATATAACAAAGTCCAGGCATTATGCTGCACATAATTGTCGTGCTCTTCTGAAGTTATCACTTTGGCAGTTTCTCAGTCTGTACAGGTGTTTATGGCATGCTGTAGTTTGCCTGGGCAAAGAGAGGCCTTGCATCATCACACAAAGCTCCCACCACCCCACCCTGAACAGTGTTGTTTGATATCATCTCGTACTTTTAGTTTCATCTGTCTTAAAAACAGATGGTTTGGCTCAAGTTACAATTCTCTTTATCCCCTCATACTTTATCAGCGAGTACTGCATAACGTTATCCAGTCTAGCACCGAGGTAAAATAAGAAAACCTACATTGACCTTTTAAGTCCAGATTCTGAGGTAAACAGCTGTGATATCCTGTGATAAAAAAAAATATCCTTTGTTCTTTATAATTTTGGAAGCTGCTGTTTCGTCTTGCCATCAAGGAAAAGCAACAACTGACTGGTTCTAAGGGGCTTTGCAAAGACAGTTAAGACATTTACCGTCCTTGGGAGTGGTGCTTGATTGTTAATTAATTTGCCAACAGAGGAGTGTTGTGATAAATTTGACAATGAACTTCAGATTTTAATTTCTCCTTTGTCTCTGGTTGTCTTACCAAACTCATATAGCCATGTCACTCTGTGGGAACACAATCCATTGCAGAGCAGAACCTCAACAAGGACTGCAGACTCAACCAATATCCAAATTATAAAGCATGGGAATTTTCTAACATGTCTTCTTTTCTCCTAGATTCAGTACAGTTTCCTTTTGTTTCTCCCAGTACGGCTCAAAATATACTCCCTAGATAAAGCCCCAGTGTTGAACGTTCATAGGCGTTCAGAGCACTAGGGACTCTGAGACTTCAACTGACTTGATGTGGGTGGCCATCTGCACATGCTCGATCCCACTGAGGTCAGCCCAGATGCATTTCTTCTCTGAAAGCAACAGTACAGTTGTGGCCTCACATGGAAAACTGTTAGCAAAATTATTTTGTTTCTCTCTTTTTTTTTTTTTTTTTCCTGCCTAACAAAGCCCTCTTTGCACTTTGGGTGTCTATTATAAAACAGTTTTGTTAGTAATATCTTCGAATCTAGAAAGCACATGCATCTCATTGATTCTGAGCTGATGTAAATATGATCTATTCTCATGGAAAATTGCTGTAATGGGACATTTACCAGAATGCCATGTATTCACAGGCCCAGACAGGAATTCTTAAAGCCAGCCTTCACTGTAAAACAGTAATGCGTCAATAGTCAAACATTCCTCAGCAAGACACGTATATCAAGGAAGGTTTTTGAGGAACAGGTTAAAATTTCTAATCCAAAGCAAGGACAGAACCAAACCAGCATCCCTTGGTATTCATGCAAGCATGTTGGACAGTTTATATCCTTCTCTCAGACATGACTAAGACTTAGCATATAAGCTAAGTCCTTCAGAGCCTCCAATATTTAAAGTTATTTCATGCCCAGTGGATACTTGATTACGAAAAACAGTAAAGCAGCTTTGATGGGAAAGCATAACAACCAAAGAAAAAGGTGTGAATTGATACTTCTGAGAAGTTCAAGTTTTAAACTCCTGTTTTAAACCAGGCAATACAATATTTTCTGCACCCGAGGCACATGCCCCTAACACAAGTGTAACAACCGCCATGTGTGGAGCTTTTCTTTTCTCAAAGGACAACACAAAGCCTAACTTTTGCTCTAATACAGATGAAACCCCCCAAAGGTTAGATCTCTGAAAGTTTTGTTGGATGGGAAAACCATTTCCATTTGCTTGTTCTTGTTTTTACTCATCACCAGAATCAGACCAGCAAATTAAGCAACTATGGCAAGCTGCTGTTTATCAGGACAAAGTAATAAGCAGGAAGAAGTTGTGCTGTGGGGGTGGCATCTTCCTGACATGACTTTGATTCTTGAAATGACAGTTAAGAAAAAAAAAGAAAAAGAAAACCCAAAAAATTCAGTTTAACGGCCTTTTCAAAGCAGGTAGGTTTTGTCAGTTCCGTTTAATGTTCCAAGAAACCCAGCACCCATTAATAATTGTGTTGAAACAAAACCAAATTTGTTCAGGATTCAGTCTAGAACACCTGGTCTATCCACCAGAACTGTTCTACAGAGAGTTCTCTCCACAAATAAATGCACTAATTAAAGCCAAGAAGAACATCAAAGTCTACATGCCAGTTCTACAGGGGAAGGCTGAACTTCAGGGCAACTTTGAGCAGCTTTGTATGGATGTTGTTTCTAAATCTTTCAATCTTACCCTGACCCAAAGACTGTGAAGTACAGTAGACCCTGTCTGACCCTTCAGTTCCACTTAGCTGGGTGTATATTTCGCTACACGTTTGAAGAACAACCTGTGCCGCCACACCAGGCAGCTCCATCCTCAGCTCGTGTTCTGAGTGCGACTCATCCAGGCCTGTAGCTGCTCTAGTGCTTGTTAGCGACAACTGGAGATATTCTTGCAAAAGTTCTGGTGTTATTCTTACAGCCTTGTTCAAAGTAGGAATTTTAAGTTTGTAGGATAAATAATGTTAACCCTCAGTTTTAGAGAGAGAATAAAAAAATGCTTTGTGTCTATAACTGCATAGGAACAAGAAAAAAAAAGAAGAATAAATAACAAACAAATAGATAAAATGATTCCACCATTAATTACTTAAAAATATACCAAAACTGTATCTTAAAAAAATTAATTGAAGTTTTGGGTGTTTTCAGCCTTTTTCAGGACTTTTCAAAGTTCTAGCTGGCAAAGCACTTACTGCTTTTGTTTAACCAAAAAATTTGCTGGTTTCATTTGCTGACAGTGCTGCCTTTCCATTTTGAGACTGCTCTGGGCAGTTGAGGGTAGTCAACTGACCCTGAACAGTGCTCCATGAAGAAGGGGCAGCTGCTGGGACTGTTGGATATTAGCATATTTCTTCTAAAGAAATGCACCAATTTATACCATTTCAGGATCTGGCCCTGAGAACTTTTCTTTAACCATAGAATAACAGAGAAATATCAGAACGTATCAGCTGACAAGAAAGTACATTTTGTGTTTACTGGTATGCTCCTAACTTTGGGGTAGAATGAATAACAACAGAATATATGGTTGCATGCACACTCTGTGTTTTTAGTGTGGCATTTTGTCTTCACAGAAAGTCATCTTTGAGCATGCTATCTAGTCATAATCCCTGTGAATGTTGTCTGTCTCAGAAAGACCAGTCTTACGTGCACTCACAACTGCTGAAGCACAAGCCATACTGTATTTTATATACAGAGGGACAAGGACAAATTTTGTATCAACTAAATTACATGAACGTACCTGATGCACTGCACGTGCACAGTGGGGAGTTATTCAGAACGTCTGTTGTTAGCTACGTTAGGCATCTGACTTGATGCTCTGAACGATGCCACCGGGCATCTCCTTTTCCCACTGACTACACTGAAAATTTAAGAGCTTAAGTTCGACTGGTTTAATTAAATCTAAGAGAGATGGTTAAGGCAGAATAATGTAGATGAAATGCCCCTCATGTGAAGAAATTGCTTAGCTGTTTTATCACCTGACACAATTAGTTGCAGGATACAACTGGGTAAAATTACTTGAGTTAAAAAAATAGATGTGAGGACTACGTAGCTTCTTTAGCTCACTGCAGACAGCAGTGCATCAAGGGAAAAAAAATAAAATACATGCCCCCTTCTCCCCCCCCCAAAAAAACCCCCTGAACACAATAAGGTGGTTGTTTTTTTTGTTTGGTTGGTTTTTTTTGTTTGTTTGTTTCTTTCTGTCCTTGTTTCTTTCATGCACTGAGATCAAGAACAGCTTTTCTCTGGACCCATACAACTTAAAACTTTGATTTTACAATGCCGACAGAGTTTTTTATGCAACCGTAGTTCCTAGCACCTGGTGCTGTAAGGAAAAAAAAGGAAGCCTCCTTCAGCTACTATAAGACGTGTAATAGAAATGTGTTAATTAGCATCACCCATTCCAACAGGAGTGCCTGATTTGAACTGTTCAGAATTGTCAAAGAGTGCCTAAAAGCTTTGGAGGAAAACCTTAACCCAGCAGTTTGAAATACAGGTGTTTTAAGGGAAAATTAAGGACATTCTGGACATTAGGAACCTCTGAACCATCTTTAAGGATGTTACAATGGATATGTGGGCCTAACTTTAGGAAACAACATTTTTACGTGAGATTTTCAAGGGCATATTTTGAGTTCCTCAGAACCAGGTTATATCATTGCTGCCACTTGTCTTATGTGGTGTAAGGAACCTGTTGAAACAGAACTCTTTGCAGGAGCAACGTCAGAGCAATTTCTTTTTTTTCTTTTTCTTTTTTTTTTCACAGGGATTTGTGTTCTCCTAGGTATTTCAAATGTATTTACAGAAGCTCTCATCACACACAAGAACTTCTCAAATTTTACATAAACCTAGTGACAGGCCTTAGGATTTATGTCTGTTTACAACCATCAGAAAGTGCAGAGGTTTGGTTGTCCACAAAAATAGTGAGGCAGAGCCTCTGGTGCTAGTAACTGCCACACTACTGAAGTCATGCAAACCTAGCAGAAAACACTAAGTCCAGGAGATGCTAGTGGAGTATGGATTCCAATCTGGATATAAAATCAAAACAGTTCCATGTGGGAAAAATTGTTCCTGCTATTTTGCACAATGTTCAATTTTCTAAACATACTTTAAAACTCAGCAACTTACAGGGTCATGCTGTGAAAGGCAAAATAATAATTTTTTTTAAAGTGTGGTTACTACAGGTTGGAGTATATAATTTTGGTGGCCCTCAAACTGTGCCCAGGAAGTTACTTTTGAGAACAGGACACACGGTATTAACATCTCATTTATAGGAAGTCAGGACTTAAATGTCTGTTGAGAAAAACTCCCTGACACTAGTTATAGCTACGTCGAAGTAGGTTTGAAAAACAAACAAATAAAAACAATGCAGAAAGTATTCGTCCTACACTTTATCGCTGAAGGAGGGATAATATAATGATAATTTCTGTCCTGTACAGAGGAGACACCACCATTAGTTAAAGCTTTAAGGGTCTGATGTTATTTTTGAACAGAAGAGGGGATTTCACCTGAAATAAATCTGGTACTAAATGCATAGAAAAGACAATACTCAAGAAAGCAAGAACAGGGAGGACTCACTGTCTTTTGGCCTCTTCCGGAACCTTTCCAGGTCCACGCTGGGGGGTCTGCTGGGCTTCTGTGGGGGCTGGCCCAGTTTGAACAGCGGGGGCAAGGCTTTTCGCTTGGGAATTCCTGAACTTCTATCCCCATCCTCTTTCTCTTGTGATCCACCTGATGGCTTTCCTGCAGCAAGCGCTGTGTTCGTCTTATGGTACTTATCAGATGAAGAACCTGATTCTTCCTGGATGATTTTGTTCAGAAAGATGTTCTTAGCAGCATGGATTCCTTTTTCTTCAGTCTTTTCTTCCATGTTTTTTGGGATGCCTTGAGATGAGCTGGACCAGTGTCCAGGAGGCTTCAGAGCCACATTAGAAAAAAGACTGTCTGTAGCTTCTGCAGCATGGTTACTATTTTCATCCATTTCCTTTGCTGCTTTAAATGAGTGCATATTTGGTCTAGGGCCTGACAGTCCTTTTTGCAGAAAAACATTCTTATTAGAAGTGTCTTCGTTGTGGGGGACTTCATGGGTTAGAGAACGTTTCTGTGCAAGAGGCGGTTTAGAGAAAAGAGGCTTGGGCTCATTTTCTTGTGTTGCAGACATGAACTTTTCCTTTACTTCCATCACTTTTGAAAATGCTGGTTTTGCCACACTCTCATGTGGTGCAAAATTTGAATCTGGTTTTGTTCCCAGAGGATTTTTTTCTTTCTCATGAGAAGCAGAGTTAAGAAACTTGTTCCCTGGAAGTTTTGGATACAGAGGCTTTGGGTCTTCTTTTGACAAGCCACTGGTTTGAGTGGGGGGTTTAGCGCATCCAGATTTTCCATCATTTTCTCTGTTAATTGCCTGAAGCTGAACCCCAAACATTTGTGCCACGGGTTTCAAATATGGGGGCTTTGGATCCTTCTCTGTTTTATCATCAGTTGAAGGCTTGACCCCCAGGGAAGGCTTAGGATGAACAGGTTTGTGAAAGTTACTGGGTCCTGAAAGAGAAGTTTCATTTCCTCGACTTGCAAATTTCTCAAGTGCTGCTTTCTTTGTCTGTAATCCTGTAGATTGTCCTGGGATTTTGAAGGATCGACTGTTACTGGAAACATCTTCTGTGGGGCAGTTACCCCCGTTAAATTTCGCCATGAGTGACTTCACCTTTGTGTTGCCATTCTATAAGCATAAAGAAGAGAAAAAGAAATAGAAGCAATGAGAAAGTCCCTGTTGCAATGTTCACACATACTGTACTTTAAAGAGTTTCCTGGTCTGAGGCTTGTAGTACTGCTGATTGGCTGTGGAGATATTGTAGCACATCTTCCTGTAGGGTTAGAGAAGCTGAGCATTTTGCTATATCCTTGCTGTGGTTATACAGTCTTTTAAAATTATGAGTGCAGGTACTGCATGTAGACTATGATCATGCAGCTCCTTTTGGGCATAATGTAATTTCTTGAATTGGAAACTGAACATGTATTAATTATTTTAAAATACATATTACCTTAGAATTTAGGTATCCCTAAAAATATGAGTGTCCTTCAGTGAGAAGCACAGACCATACTAGAACCTGGATTAGGTACCAGACTAGCATTGTTACTGCCAACTCTTTAGAGAGCTGCAAGTTCCTTTGTGAAAACAGAAATTCTTCTTTTTTGGGGGATGGGTGTCACTTTTTCTTTCTCTTCTCAGCCATTTTCTTAGCTGCTTCTCCCCCTGATCTTACTTTGTCCTTGTTTCTCTTCTCCATTTTTTATCCAAAAAAACACTGCGCATGTGTGGATGCAAAAATAAAAACGTGTGGAGTAAAATATGGAGAACTGGCAATCAATGCACTCAGATACTGTCAAAGATACTCAAATAATTCTTAGGGGAAAAAACAAAAGTTGAACAATTCCAAGTGGATAAAACCCACCTGAAACAGTTTTAATCAGTCAGTTCTATTCAACACCTTTCAGAATCATTCTTTAATATGAACTGAGAGCAAAAGCTCAATACATTTGATTTATGTGCAATTAAAACACAGCACAGTGAAGGATGGGGGCAAAGGGGAGTGAGCTGGTCCCACTGCACTGGGCTGGGACCACCTTTGGGTTCCAGGAGCCATCTGCAGCAGGGACTCCTTTCCCAGCCAACAGTGGCAGCAGGAGCAGATAGGCTGGCATATCTTGTTCACAGCTTGTTTTAGTGGGATCTGTTTTGTGTGGGGAAGGTAAAGTGTATGAATAGAGATATAAAGCAGGGATGTTATGACTAGGAAGGGCTCTGAACCATTTGTTTGGAAACAAAGGAGTATCACTACAAAGCACAATAAATTTTAGAAAATGTCTGAGATTTAAAAACAGTTTAGAAAGAGGTTGAAGAATGAACTGTGTCTTCACTCAGTACAGTTCAGCAAATGTTCAGTAATTTTTTTTTTTTACTCCATTAACAACAGCTTCTAAATTAGGGTTTTGCTTCTTTTGCCTTCTATCTGATTGTATCACATTACATGAATTGATTTTTATGTTGGAATAGTTTTATCTGTGACTTCTGCAACTTAAAGTTAACTTTCCCAGTCTTTCACCAAGAAATTTAGTCTTTAAAAACTGTTTATATTATCTACTAAGTTACGTACAGTAAGTGCAGCCAAAACAAGATAGACATATAAGAAACATGCCCAGAGCACCAAATTGTTATCTCTTTTGCACATTTAGGGAAGGGAGGAAGTACACATTTACTATGGAGATTATCAGGTTTAAGCCATCTACTGCTGGTTGACGTATATGCACTCACACACACATAATTACACTGCAGAGATACGTATATGCATCACTAATCATTCAAGATTTCTCCCACAATACCTCACAAAGCGCTGATTTTACCCACTTAAGCAAAGTTAATCTAATTGCAGTGCTAGAGAGAATAAAAAAGCCTTTTGTTTCTGATGTCTTTTGACTCTGTACTAAAGAATGCTTTTTTAAAAAACTTCTGTAACAAAATCTAAAACATCAGTGATACTATAACTTTACCTCAGTGTCTGAAGTCTTCAGAACCTGTAAATTACAATCTGGTCAGCTGCTTGGCCAACTCAGCAGCTCATTTCTTTTCAAAGTTATAGCAATAAATTGATTCTTCTGCTACCTCTTTCATTTGAAATTTAAGAAAATGCACTGTGTCACACTACAGCAATGCGAATGTTCTGGACAGGAGACGTTCAGCATATAGACCTTTTAGAAGCTGGAAATGTGGCTTTGAAGAAACTTTTCTTGTTATGACATACGGTTTCTGAGAAGTTTTCTACACGTTTGCAATAGTAAGATGAAATACATCCTTACATGCTTTCAGGTGCACTGAACCAGTCACTAATGCCATGTTAAGACTGCCAATGGATTTCTTTTGATAAATTTCTTCCCAATACCATGAACAAACCTTGCGCTAGTCATACAGATTTACAAGCTTTTCAAAAGTAAAAAGCTCCTGGGTATGTGGAGGGGTTTACAATCAGCAATGTAGCCTCTTGTTTACTTGCAGCGAGTAGTAAGTGGTAAAGGAAACACTCTCAGAATCAGGAGGGAGTAAAAAACTGTGAAATCTTTCTTCTTCTCTTTAATGCTTGTCACCTGTTCCTGCTTTCATAAGATACATTACACTAGAAGCCATCTTGTGAGTTCTAGTGCACAACCTGACTGCCCAGGTAGACAGATGGGGGAACTGGGAAAAAGAGACAATCATTTATTTGTGGCCTTGCTCATAAGTAAACCCCAAAGTTTCTGTCTTTCCCTTCCCAGAAGTGACAGCAGCTACATATTCCATTATCACATGCAACAAGTTGTAAAGGATGAAATGGGAACTTGAAAAGATTCTGAAGTGAGATTAAGTTCACCCTACCCTTCCCCCTAAAGCGCAAAGTGGCTGTGGGACACAGGAGTCTCATGCAAGAAGCACTTGGGTTATTTTCTGAACTTTCTCTTTGCACTCTGTTGGGAAACTCAGTGCAAAATATTTTGACTTTTCAGCTTCTGATCTCAACTGGAAGCTGCACATAAGGTGCACAGTAACATTTGCTTTGACAAAAGACGGTTACATTATTCAAATGGGTTTGCTCAAATCTGGAACAATACGCAGGTTTAGCTCCCATGCCATAGATTCATCCAGATTTGTATTCTCAGTGCTTTTCCAGCCTCCCACTGCTTTCAACAGACACGCAGATACCAAGATACACTATACAGAATTCTTCCACAACTAGATCTTAATTACACTTCAGTGTAAACCAGTGCAATTCTCCATTATATACAATATAACTGCACATTTCTGTACAGAAGTTTAATTTAATGAGACCACAAGAAATATAAAGGTTTCAGCTGTATTATTCCTGAATTTACTCTGATTATTCCTGTCTCAACTAGCAGCCTGGTCAAAAACATTTGTTTTGTTCAGGCATAAATATGCTCTCATTATTTACTTTCCAGTCTTGGTGAATCTAAAAGATCATTTCACTTCATCTTCTCCTTCTGGTTGCTCTTTCTTCCAAGAGCAATACTGGATCAATGAAAGAAATAGCAGACATCTGTGCAGACGATCCTTAATTAAGCAAATGAAATATATGTAACTGTTGACTGTACAAAGAATTGTGCAATTCTTCAAAATACATGCAGATATCATTTATAAAGGAAAAAACTCCATCTTTTCACTTCTCACCTGTAACTTTTTTCCTTTCTATTCCAAAAGGATAGGATCTAAACAGGCCTTTTAAAAACTCATGATCTATTAACAGAATCAGATTTTACTGAGTTTTCTACCAAGTAATGAAATAAAGATTATAAAGCTATCATTTCAAGAAGAAAAGTATGTATGCTCATGAATTCTGTGGCAGTGAAATAACGACAGAAGCTGGTAACCACTGTGGAAATTGAGCTCTAACCCATGGGCAGGATAAAGGAACAAATAACCGGTCAGAAAAGGCGACGAAAATGACATATGTAGATTTTAGAAAAATACTGATCTGAAAATTATTTTGCAACATAACAGCCTGATTTAGCTTCTGCATAAGTTAATGGATTTGAGGGAGTTTAGCTGCTTGCACAACATGCTAGTGCCATTCTGAATTTGTGATAAATTATTGCTCGACTTTTTCCTTTTGCAGACAGAGAAACTTCAGAATTAACATTACGCAACTTTGTTGTTTTCAGAGGACAGATTTCCAAGTCGCATTTCTTCCCCTTGAATCTAGTAACAATTACTAGTTGAAGAAGACTCCCTGTAATAGTGAGTGCAACATGTGGAACCTGGAGTTAAGATGTTCCTAAACTCTGTACCTATGAATGTTGGTAGCAAAAGTATGCAAGGATGGCAGAAAGACAGCATCTGTCCAAACAAAAAGACTTGCTAATACAGTGATTGGTATTCAAGAGAAATGAACCCTCACCAGATAGTGAATAATGAAGAGGCAGGCTATTCTGCTGTCTGAGTTTTTTTTGTTTGTTTGTTTGTTTTGTTTGGTTGGTTGGTTGGTTTGGGTTTTTATTTTCTTTTAAAGTAAACTGCTAGGATGGAGAGGATAGACAGAAATCTAAGGCTTTCCCTGGTGAGAGATGGGCAGGCTCTATGTTACCCTGAGAGCACCGTTTCCAATATCCCTCTAACACCATCAAGACAAAACCAGCACACTCATGAGGGCATGTGGTTGTCAAGACAAGTGTTTCAACCTGATCACACCGTATTCTGTATCTTTTCTGTTGCGTAGTATTCCTCAACATCTTTGTTGTCCCTCTCTTGTCCCTTTTTCTCATCTTTTACCTAATCATAAAACCAACTACATCATATTGCAGGAACATGAGAGGACAATACAGTTTATCCACGCACGATCAGTGTGAGACCAGGATTAGTGAAGGGACAGGGCTTGACCAGAACAGCCAGATGGCATCCCAGTTTGGTCCCAAACTATTGCTGTCACAGCCTATGCATGAGGCTAAAGCATCTATCCATGCACGGTCATCTCTTCCCCTATGTCCTGACAAGTTCAACACAAAGGTTCACTTTCATTGCTTTCTTGCTTCTTTTCCATATCTGTCTATGTCAAAATCAGAAAAACTCAACCATTGGCAACTCAGTCTTCAACAACAGAAGCCTGGCAGCTTCAATTTTCCAGCAAGAACTTCTATGCAATAAAACCA